CATTAAGGAGGAAGAGAAAAGCACCCATCCTACAAAATGGAGAATTGGGATCCGGCAAAGAAATCCATTTTAAAAAAGATGCTTGAACAGTAAGGAGGGTATTTAGACGAAATGTGAAAACAATCCCAGGATGAAAGAAAAATTGTGAAAGACTTGGAGATCAGCGTTTTGCATACTGAAGCCAAATGTAAAGGTTCTTTTTTGTAGGTTAATTTCATACAAGGAAAAATGGAAGAGCCTGTGCTTTTTGTTAAGAAAGGCAAAGCAAGGATTTGCTTGAAAAGTGAATTTGCTTTAAATTGGAAGGAAAAGTACAATTTAACAGTGAATTGCTGGAATGGCTGTTGAAATCGTGGGCTCTTTTATTCTTGGTGTGTGTGCCTCAAGGCAGGGTTTTTTTCTCTTTTTTTTTTCTCTTTTTTTTTTTCTCTTGTTTTTTTTTTTAGCTAGATATGGTTTAGTCAAAAGAATAGTAAAGCAGTTAAACAAATGTTCTCAGTTCAGTGTCAGAAGGGTCTGTTCTTGCTTCCAGCCTGGTCTTTAAGAACTCTGAAAATGTGCAGCAGGCTGATGTCACTCATTTCTAATTAGAGCCTTGTTGATGGTCTGTATTTGTAAGACTGATTTTAGTATCTGCAGCTGAAGGAAGGAAAGCCCTCAAATGTTAATGCATCCGACCAGTTTGACCTGAATGTGTGTTATGTGTGAGTAAGGATTTGGGTTTTTACCGTCTCGTCAGTTGTGTTGTACAATGTTTTATCATAATGAGTGGCTGACAAGTGACAGGAGTGGTCATACTCCTCAAAAGCTTACAAAAGCATTAAACAGTTGCTAAACATGTTCGCTTTCTGAATGACAAACTGATAATATATAAATAGTTAATATTAGTTAATAAGTAGTTAATTGTAGCTGTACAACTTAATAAAGTTTCATATTAAACTGGGCATGATCAGTCATGTACTGGGTTACAAGCCCGTTATGTGATGTAATGGGGGAAATGCATTTGCTTTTTGTGTACTTTAAAAAGCATCTTGAAAGTAAGTCATGCTGGAAGAGTTGTGGGGGGTGCAACGCCCACGTGTTGGCTGTGGTCCCTTGGTGTTGCTGTGAGGGAGCTGAAGAGCAGCCGGGTGCCACCCGCAGTCGCTGCTGCCCACTCCTGTGTGAGGCCACATTGCAATGTGGTTGGTTGGGTTCTGCTCATTTTCTGTGGTGGGCTGTGTGTGGTGTTGGGCCCCAGGTTCATCGTGCTGTGTGTGTTGCAGCAGCAGCTTCTTTTACAGCAGAGAGGAAAGGAAACTAGTGGAAGGTCCCACAGGCCAGATCTAGTCAGCGTATCCTGCCAGCACAGGTAATCATTAGGGTTTACTAGTACAACATAGTCTTGACAGGATCAAAAGTACATGTTTTGCCAGGAGATTTAGGAGGATTCTGGGTTGAGAGTTTGTGTTAAATCTCCAATATTCGCAAGAGTTTGGGGGTAAGAAATAAAACCCAGCAAATGCAGCATGGGCTGCTGAAGTTGTGAAGCAGACCCATGTTATTAGCTGCAGGAGGGTTAAACAGTTAACAATATTGACTGTTTCACTCATCGATGATAATTAATATGTCTTTTTATTACTGACTCCATTGCTGCTGCTAGCTCAGTGTTTTCTGTTGCCGCCAGTGATGCTTGGCCATTCTGAAGGCAGCTGTACTTTGATCAACAGTCCATGCCACCAGTGGGACCCAGAAACCTCCTGAAAGAGCAGGGTGGGAATGCGTAGCTAATGAGAGTCTCTAATGACCAGAAAACTTCCTCCATTGGCAGAAAATCCCTGCCAATGGGATTTATAGTGTTTTCTTCCCTTTCCAGCTATGTGTTGGAAACCACTGATAGAAGGGGAGTGGAAGTTACATGATGGATTTTAAGGAGCTGTAGCACAAACATACACACCCTCCTCACCCCCATTAATTATTGCCTACATTTAAAGGCTAAAATTAATGAAATTAATTACATCTGCTCAAAATCTTAAGTGTGTGAATTACTTAGATCTTTTAAAACAGAGAAATAATTTCTTGCAGGGTTCACAGACTTTTTCCTCAGGCTTGGTTGGTTACTTTGGTATATTGTCCCCATGATGCATGCTGCTATCTGAAACACTCAGGGGTGCACCTTTCAGAGTAATACAAGATGTCCAATTCAGATTAAGGGCCACTGCAATGTTCAAAGCAGAAGTACTGAGATAATTATAAAAATACTATTAAATTCAGAGAGTTAAAATGTAAAGCTAAGTAAAAGGTGAGATGCTTAGAGGGTAGAAATACATCATGTAATTAGCAACAAGAATGTCTAATATGCTGCTTGTCTGACAGTCTTTTACTTGTTCACTCTGGTGTTATTTTCAACGTGCAGCTTCTACCAAAGTAATTTTTAAGACTCTGTTTACATGTTAAGGTGGGTAAAAAAAAAAAAGGTTGAAGAGTGATCTGTGCCATCAAAACATTTAAAAGTGATACACTGCAGTATATAGTATTCAAGATAAGGACTTCAAAGAATGTTTGGCAAGATCAAACGTACATGATTGTGAGGCTTTAACTGCTAATTTTATTTTAAAATTGCCTGACGTGTAAGGTTGACATTAAAGATAAGCCTAGATTTAGGGCTGGGGGAAAACTTCAGCATCCATTTTAGTTTTCATTGGATTGCGTGTTGTGTTTCTTTGGGGACTTTTCTACAGATTAAAATTAAAACTTTTTCTTGGTTTTTGTTTTGGGTGGTTTTTGTTGTTGTTTTTAATTTTGAAACGCTCCTTGTGTCCTGTGGTGATTTAAATTTAGACTTCTGTATAATATTCTTTTACTGCTGTTCTCTGGGCTTGCACCTTGCCTGTGCCTCCTGTGGTGCCCCATCAACAGGACCTTCCAGACTATCCTTGTGTTTTCTGAATGTGCCACGTTTTGGGAAGCGTCATTCAAAAAGACCTTGGTTTACATGGAAAGTAAGAACATGATAGGTACATTACTAGAGCTTTCCTAAAACATTGCAGCAATGTTTCCAAATGGAAAACTTCAGATTTTTCAGTTAAAAGACTTGTGTTTTGATTTTGCATCAATAAAATTCTGATTCTCACTGCATACGAGTTCTCATTATGCACAGAAGCAATGCTAACAGATTAATTTCCCAGGAGAAAAGGCAAGAGCATCGCATATGCGATCCTGATACAAATAATTACCCCCACAACATATGCAGTATGGCAGTATGGGGTTAAGCATGGCATGAAGGCTCACAGAGTGGCCCAGCAAACATGAAGAACAGAATCTTGAACAGTCGTATTATCCAGGCATTTAATTAGGGCTTTTTGAACATGCATACTTGAAAAACCAGTTTAACAGCAATGTGCTGATTGAGCATAGAGTTAAGCAAGTAAGTCTGGACAGGTGTTGGAAATCCTTCAAGGAAACAGATATTTGAATATTCAGCTGATGATACTTCTCCAGGGCATTAGGGATGTGAGGTGTCCCGTGGAGTTGCAGGACTGCAAGTGGCATTCCTTTTGTGAATGACTGAGCCATACCAAATGAATTCCTACTTCCATTTCAAAAAACCTGTACCATTAACTTCTTTTTTCTTTGGGTTGTCTTGGGCAAGGTTGATAGTTTGTTGTCTTTGGTTTGGTTTGTGTAGTGTCCAGCACAAGGAGTTGCCTACCCATGACTGAGGCTCACTAAGAGCAACTGCAAAAAGAGCAAAGTGATGGCTTGTCTTCTAAAATTATATTTTAGTAAAATACATACTTTAAAACCCCCATAAAATTCACATGGAAACAAAATATTTATTGTGACTACATTTTGAATTGTACTGTTTGCACGAGTCATTAACATAGAGGGAGCACTTCTCTAAAAATTGGCAGTTTTAGAAAGAAGTAAAATTTTTTTTTTAGGTGAGTTATCACGGGGACTTGTTCTTTTTCTGTATGTGTTTTGGGTAGTTTCCAGTTTCATTAAATGTTAGAGATACTGTGTGTTTGTCATCACTTAATTGTTTTTATTATGTTCTGCTAAGAACATGGAAGCCCTTTATTTTCTGTTTGTTGCTGTGAAATTGTTTCAAGTTTTACGACTTCACAAATACAGACTGTATCAGCAGTTTTCAATTGCGCATATTTATGATTTTGGTGTTTTACAAGATTCTGGAGGTTAAGCCCCACAGCTGTCACCATTCTTTGTTTGCTGCTGATGGAAACACCTTAGCAACAGCAAGTAAACTGCTGGCAAATGGAATTGGAGCACTAAGATAAAGTTGTTTCTAATCTCAGTGCTTCTCGGGTGAGAATCGCAGTATGAGGAAAAAACACATTCAAGGAATCAGTCAATTGTAGCTTTTTTTTTTTTTTCTCTAATGTACTATATTTACAACCTCTGACAATTTGAGCTGAGCGCAGCAAAAACCTGGCCTAATTGCGAGGACTGCAAAAAAATACTTCTGCTTTTTTTACCCCTGAATAAATGGTTGTTTCTTCAGGATGAAATGCATATCTGCATTATGGAAGAAAACAGTAACAGTGCTGTGTCTGTGCTCATTAACTGACTGGAAAAGACTGTTCAAGTCCAGATTTTTCTTTGCTCTACCTAGATTTGAGATCACACTCTGGAGCATATTCTCTGATGCCTCTAATTCTATAAGGAATACTGTACATTTGGATGATACTTTTGTCATCACTTTTCACTTCCAAGAATATAGGACTTTGGAGTACAGTGAGGTGCAATAATATGTTAAGAGTAAGCCTTTTTAATTCTAGAGTGCAAGTGTAGAAAATAATACAAGATTTCATAATGTATCTGTAATTCATATCAGCACCAAAGTGGTTTTGATTTTAAAGACATATATGTTACTTCTGTGTGACTTCAATATGTTTTGGGGTTGGGTTTGTTTTAGCGGGTGTTGGTTGGTTGGTTGGTTGGTTGGTTTTCAGCTTTGCTGACTTAACTTGTAAAACACTGTTGTTTTTTCATCTTAGGTCTGAGGGTAACTGTGTTATTAACATCATCCCTCATGGTGTTGGGAGCTGGCCTGAGATGTGTTCCAGTTTCAGACCTAGAAATTAGGAAGAAGTAAGTGGCTTTAGTTATTTTTAATATATATCTTTTCATATTTTCTGCTAATATAACTTTTGCTGCTACTGAAAAACAATGTTAGTACAAATTTTCTATATGAATTTGATACACCAAATGCTTGGGTGGACCTGGAGTTACATGCTTCTTTGCCTCTTAAATGGATTTTTCTAGTCCTTCTACATAGTATCTGAAGATCTGAAAGCCCTTTACAAACTTGAGTTAATTAAGCCTCACCCCATCCTGCCTAACTAATATTAATCTGCTTTGCAAACAGGGAAGCAGAGATTTAGAGACACTCAGAAACTGGCCCAAGATCACACAGGGAACCATCCCACAAAACTCAAAAATATGTAATTTTTATGCAAATGTTAAATAATGAGTTCATGTTTCTCATATTGGATGTATGAGATTGTGCAGTGAGACAGATGAATTTACGCAAAACAGCCTTTTTCATGTAGTCTCTCCCAGTCTGCATTCCAGAGTAGTACTTTCTCTGTGGTTGAAACGAAGTTTGTGATAGAGATGGATTCATTCTGAAAAATCACACAATCCAAACAGTTCAAATGTCCCGTCCGTGTATCCTGAACTAAGGAATCCTCAGTAAGTACAGGAGTCACACTTGTTTTGTACAGTCAGTGAATATGGATCACTCATTGTTCACTTAACTTTCCTTTGCCTCTCATGCTGCAAGAGGAAAGAGTACAGGCATTACTATATTTTTCTGCTTGTTCAAAAAGAGTAGTAGCACTAGCTTTTCACTAGTTATGTTTGCATAATATGTAAGCACCAAGAAAAAGCTTATTTATAAAAGGGTTTTATGTAGTTTTTTTTTTTTTTAAATCTTGAATTCTAGTCAGCTTCCAGGCAGTTCTTGTATTATTTCAGTAAGTTCCTTTTCTTCCCCTTAGTATTACTTACGCAGAATATCAGCTTGGAAACCTTTAAGTTGTAGAAGAAAATGTTTGTTGTGAAGTAGGAGGCAGATGGCTGAGTACTGTAGGTAAAACAAAGGAAGTGCTTGAGAGTGAGGAGTGGGAATGTAATAAACACATTTGTTGTAAAACTAGCCTGGATCAGGAGTAAGTAGCTAGAATGTAATGAATGGCTTAGTAAACTCAATGTGGTGAGTAGGAGGGATGCAATTTCAGTTCTTAGGTACTTAAAGTGTGGATAAGGAAGCACCCAGGGTGATCCTGCTGGTAGTTGCCCAGTGTTGCCCATTTCAATGTGGTGTTCAAGGGCTTTGTGAGCAGGGGAGACTGAACTAATGTTGTGCACAGTGACCCTTTTAAGGTGAAGATGTGATATTGAGTTGGCCAGGAAGAACTGTCCTCATTGTGCCATTGTTTTACCTTTTCTCAGGATGCCAAGGGCTGTTCAAGATCCATTTCATCCAAACTAAATTTAGACGTGAGGTATCATTTGAGCAGTGGAAAAGAGCTTCCATATGCTCTGATCACCTTTAAGCAAGGTTTTCCAGTATAACTGCAGAGAGGAGACTGAGGAGAACAATGGAATAAATGCTTGAGGAGACACATTCAAAGAGCAGCTTCCTTAGCTAGGAAAGAAAGGCTGTGGATTGTATAGAGTCTGATATGATGTATAAAATATGATAATTTTTTTTTAAATTATAGAGAGGAAAAAAAAAAAAGAGCATGAGCAGCATAACCGTCATGGAAAAGGTTACTAATTTCATTTATTCATTTGATGAAAATATGCATCATCTCCAGCTGAACTGATAAATTTGCTTATTTAGTCTACAAAAGAAAAAAAAGATGGTTTCAAGAATTGCAGCTTTACCTTACTTGAGAAAGTAGTTTGATCTTTTACACAGTTTGATTAAAAATTTACAGAGAATTAATTATAACTGTGTGAAGCAAAAGGATGGTTCTCAGTGAAGGTTTCTAGAGACATTGTACATACTTGCACAGACTGTGATGTTATACCAGATAACCTGCATTATCTTGAGGGTTATGACTGCAGGCCGATTTTCATCAATTACCCAAAGCATAATACCAAATAAAATTTTTGAGATGAGCATTAATGCTTAATGCATTAGCAACAGCTGTCAGAGCACTAAACTGTGCACTCATTCTGAATGTGTGTACGTGTTAATATGACAGTTTGAACGTTACAGAGCCAGTCAGATGGACAGGATCACACACAAGCTAATAGTGGAGTATTTCAGCAGCCTGTCTAACTGGAATTTCTTTAAATGCTTTTGCATGTTCTGTGATGTGTTCCTTCAGTCCCTGAGTAGTCTGCAGTAATTTACTGAAGGATTTCCAAGGGACAATTATGTCAGTTACGATACATAAAATTACAAGAACGTTCATGAGGTTTGTCATGTTTAGTTATGGGGTTTTTTTTCTGCTTTGTAGCTGTCTCTGCTCCCTAAGATCTTGCAATTTAACATTAAGGAGAGCTACTGAAACCCGTCGCCTATCAGAGCAATCACAGATGTGAGGAAATCACTGTTTAGACTGACATTTAATCCTGACTGCTTTATGTGCCTTATCTCACACAGACCTGTAATATCCAAGTGCATTCTTAAGCTTCTTTCTAGTCTGTAATTATTCTTCTGGCTCTAGCGTGTAACAGCAGAATAAGATTATCTTGCAATTCTCTAAGGCATGTTTTAAACACAAACCTTAACCTCAATTTTTGGTTCATTTGATGTCCATGTGTGCACACAACTTGTATGAGGGAGAATTCAGGTTTCATATTTGAGTGTGTCTCTTGAAGCAACTGTTCCTTTTGGTGAATTTTTGTTCTCTGCCAACATGTGACCTAAAGCTGTACTGGGAATCTGTGCCAGAACTGCATAAATTCAGTGAAGTCTGAAATGGGAGGGCTTGGTGAAAATGTGGGAGTATGGACCTGTGTGTGAGATGGAGGAACCAAGCTGTGCACAGACTAGTAAAGTTCCTCTCACGTACACATAGGCACTTACCTGCTTTCCTCCCCAGCCCATTGAGCTGTGAGGTTAATGTGTGTATCATACAGACAAGGAGGTTAAAAAGAATTTTTCTTACTTACCATGCACTTCTGGGTTTTTCAAATGTGCCAGATATGTAAGAATGAATTTGATTTTTAAAAATAAAACCCCAAACCATTATTCCTTTCTAAATGTTATGAAAACCTCATTTGCCACACTTATTTTTTTTAGTTCAGAGTTAATGTAAATGATATAGCACATAAAAAAAAAAAAAATGTTATCCAGTTGTACCATTTCTGAACTTGTCCCTTCTTCTCTTCCCTGAAGGTTACAAGAGTTTCACTAATTCATTCTTCATTTTATCCAGTCCTTTCCTTTTTGAATACTGTTTGGCACTAAGTGAATATTTTCATTGGACTTTTTTAGAATTAGATTATTTTATCCTGAACAGTAATATTATATTTTTTTAAAACCAGGATAATTTTTTTTCACCTCACATAACACTTCATAATTATCTGTTATTCTGTGTTTAGAAATAGATATACATACGGCTGAGGTCTTCCATACGACTATAAAATACTAAATCTAGGCAAAAGGCTGTATGAGCTGAAACATTTAAGAAAGAAGGAAATAAATGATGAAGTCAGCCCATGGCCATAAATCTATGGCTTTTAAGACTGACCTTGTGATGTAAGACTTCTTAAAATGTTTTGAAAGACAGGATAATTAAAGACATGGAAGTAAAGGATATAACATAATTTGTCATTTGTATAGAATATATTAATTAAGCAATTTATTAGAACTTAGTATGCTGTGGGCTGGTAGGGTTTGGCCTTCACATTAGATTTCACAACAGAGAAGTAGTTCTTGAGGACTTTGAGTCACAGCAGTGAGAGGGCATTCCTCAGTAGTAAGTACCATTAAAACATTAGTTGGGAAGCCAGCAAAACAATAACACAGCGAATGACATTGGAAACAGAAGTGGTTATTTGCAAAAAGTCATTTATCAGGGACACGTCGGTAATTGGTAGATCTTGTAAAGGGTTTTTTCTTTAATAGTACCACTTCTTAGCTTTTTGAATTTTTCTGCCTACTTTTAGATATACTGATGTTGACTTTTTCCTTTATTATATTTGAAGATTTGCTCTTACCACATCTTTGGTACATTTTGTTTCTATTAATTAGTTGAAACGTAGTTTGTATTCTATTCTTGTTAAACTTATTCTTCAGTAGTTCTACCTTTTCCCCTTTTTCATCCCTGAAAGCATAAAGGATGATATGGGATCATCTCATTTATTTGTCTTTCCTGATCATAAAATGACCGTGAACCATCATTCTCATGCATGTAAAATGCAAAGGCGCATCTCAGAAGAGGTAATTCCAGTAAAGACATATTAGGATTCTCATATTCCCTGGCAAACCTGAACACACTTCTGTGCTCAAAAAAACACCCCAAACTGTAGCAGCCGTGGAGAAGAGCGATTAAAGAGTTCCAGGGAATGAAAAGAGCCTTTTAGGAGAGGATGATGGAAGAATCTGCCTGTAAGAAATAAAGACAGGTTGATGCATGTTGTGCACTCTTTAAACTCACTAGGGAAGGGAAATGAAAAAAAGTATTTAATATAAAGTGTGGTTCTGGGAGTAAAAATGTGGATAAACACACCTGTTTGTATGCTGGCGCTCAATGAGCGTGGGAGGAAGACGTTAAGATGGAGCACTTGCCTGGCACTGATGGCACTTGCTGGTTTGTGCTTTGGCTGCAGTGCTGGGGAAAGGCTGAGCTGGGTTAATCCATAGAATAAAAGAAAGAGTTAAGTGGGGAAAAAAGGAAATGGATCATTCAGGGGTAGGTTCTCGTGGGGAATATTTAATTTTTATACCCCTGTAACTTAACAGTTTAGCTTGTTTTTATTACCTCCACCAGCTTCATCTTGGAGGCAGGTTTTATTTTATAACCTCTGCTCCAAAGCTGCTGTTTTAGATGAGAGGTCCTGTGAGTTGCTCCAAACTGGCAATGTTTTTTTCCTGCTTTGCTTTTTTGTCACCGGCAGCAATGGAT